TATTTCTAAAAGTGAGTGTCTTTGCTTTGACAGTAATTTTATGTTCTAAAAGCGAGTATCTTTAATTTGATAATTATATTTTCTAAAAGTGAGCCTCTCATATGCTTTCCCGCGAGGTTCTTCCTCTCGTTTCCTCTAATCCTTCTTATCTAGACTGTGATTAAGCCCTTCGTTTTGCACGCACAGAACACGAATTTTATGGATACTTTGGAAAATAAAATGAATATAATAGTCTCTCCTCATGTCTGCTTTAGCGTATCATGCATATCCCAAGTTGGCCATAAATTGCAGGGATCTAGCTTCAAGATATTAAAATTTGGTCAGTGACCACGTTAAACACTTTCTAGTCTCATAATCATCCCCTTGTTCAGCATCCAAATTCAACCCGTTTTCACCTCGCCTCAACCGCTATTTCGATAGGGTGTCATTGATTGAGTACATTCTCGATTAATTAACCAATTTCTCATTCCCTGAATATTCTTCGAACTAGATTTACTTGTTCTTATTACCACACCCACTTCTTTTGCTGTTGTAAAATCTGCAACGCTTTGGGCTATTTGTAAAGGTCAGTCTTAGAATTTGATCTGTTTTCTTTGCTAACACAAAAACAAGTTTATGTGAAAACAAAGCTTTGTTTGAAAAGCCCCAGGTGAACTAGGATCATCAGATAACAATGCAGAGTTTATCTTCAAGAAAAACATACAGAAAAAGTGTTGGATTTCCTTAAATATTTAAAGGTGTCATCTACCCCAAAGGCTTAATAAATGTCAGTTTTTGCAGTAATCATCAATATATTATAATAATAATTATATATAATAATATGCATAAAAATATACCTGATATTTTATACAACAACAGGATGTCTGTCGCGTTCTCTTCCTGTCACATTGTCTTCAAGCTATATTTTGAGTAAACAATTACTTCGATTTGTAAATCTTATTAGCTGACGTTCATCATCACCAAAAACCTAACCACATACCTTCTGCTGGGAAGGTTGATAACACATTATTATCATTATCCTTTGCCAAATGGTGTCTATGTACAGTAACATTTTATAAAATATTTTTATAATTGCACATAATGGAAACATGACCAAATCAGTTACGGTCGACGTAGTTTAAAATATTTTTTTTCCTCTAAAGATATCCAAATAGTAGGCCTAATACTATTTCCTTTTAATCCACAAACGCCCCCACCCTCCATCTCCTCCCCTTTCTTCTTCAATTCAGTGGAAAGGAATGAATGTTTGTGGTCGCCCTAACCGCTCTGTGAAAACCTTATAGTGTTACAACCTTCCGGAAGATAAATTTTAAAAAATTAATCATTTAATATTACAGAAAACTCCCCATTGGATGCTGCTTTATTGCATGTCTTCAAGGTAGTGGGAGTTTGAGTTGAAGAAGTTCTTTGAATATCTCGATCACGACTCAGAATAATCTTACGGTTTTGATAGAGCAGATAGAACATAATAATTTGTTTTCTGACCTCATGATATTTTCAATTCAAAACGACTAAAAATGTTAGATACAATTTTGTAATTCTAAGACAGCGTCATTGAGACACCCTCTACCCCCCCCCCCCTGATGTCCTCACAGAATGGACAGACCACGCATTGAGAGACGCGAATATCCCGCACAGAAAGAAGCTGAAAGAATAATGTCGCGTTAATTAAAACCAGCTTGTTATATTTTTCGGTTCAAAAGTTAGGTTATTTTCTTTGGACGCAGCACGTTCCTTATTTAATCAGTTCAGTCTTGATCACGTTTCATGTGGCCTAGTATTACTTCAGAGTATTTATCCGTTCTATTAATAACTATGACTGTAGAAAAATAAGGATTGCGACATAATATCATTATTTGATACGTATCTTTGCGATTTGAGTAATGCACAAATGGAAACCACAGTTTTTCAGGACGTTTGAAGGAATCCTGGGTCCATTATAGGTCATTCAATAAAGGGAAATAATGGAACACAATGGACGCACAGTGCAGTGGATCCTGTTCTAACGGTCATCTGTATAAGACAATCACCTGTACACACTTCACACTTTCTCTCTTGAGCATTATTTGCACTATAATTGAAAAATCAAGATTCAGCAAGATGTACAAACTATTTAAATCCAGGCAACTATTTTTCACTTAAGAAAGAAAAAGCTGGAATGCTGCATCTTCCCCTTATTTCTATATAGCACAGAGACCTAGACCTTGAAAAGGAAGGAAGAAAACAAAATAAATGCTTTTGAAATGTCGTGCTACTGTAGAATGGCCAGAATAAGTTGGAAAACAAAAAAGACAAACCGAGAGGTATGTCAGATTCTATACACAAGACAAACACTGCTGAACAAAATAAAATGTACAAAAATACAACACTGTAGCCATTTAAAAAGAAACGAGACCACTGTGAAAAGGTGCTTGAAGGAGAGACGTGGGGCAGGAGAGCCAGAGGAAGGTAAGGATTAACATGGATGGAAGGCGCGGTTCGTCCATAGAGCACGGTCGTGCAGTGCCGTCCCATTTTTAAAAATTGTTCTACTACGTAAAACGCCCACAATAATAAAATAAAAGAAGCCAGAAACAAACACTACCACAATGTTATATCAAAACAAAGGTCCTCACTGGCACCATAAATGTCATTTCTATGTCTATTGCGCCGAAAAACATCTACTATGCCATGCCAAATTCCCCGCGCTTTAGCTAAACAGAAACGGATATTCAACAGTGTAACTTGACCTATAAATCGCTCTTGGGGATAACCCAAGCGATGACGACACTCGTAGCGAGTTTGGCGGTACATTAATATTAATAAGACGGCACATCTCAAATGTGCTCCTGCCGAATAGTGCCAAAAAATAGCCCTCAGTAGGCAGTCTAAAAATAAACACGATTGACCCACCGCTATTCTTTGCCAGTAATATGTGAGCCCCGGAGCAATCAAGCGGAGTGCTCAATTGAATTGTGATTGGTTCATTGTTTGTCTTGCCACTATATTAAGTGACTCTGTGACCGTGAACCTCAGGGAGGTGAACATGACCGTCCTATGAGTTGTGCCTTTGAATGGTTTTGTAGTGGAGTAGTGAAAGCTATTACATGTACTTGAGTGTTCAGTTCCCATACAGGATGAACGAAATTGATGTTTAGGTAACAAACAAATTTAGTACTAGAAATCAAAGCGACAAGTAAAAAGAATGAAAATAAAAGCACGAAGGCCCTCCCTCACCAACCCAAAGATCTTAAAATTATACACCGTCTCATTTACTATGCCCTTGACTATCTTCAGCACGCGATAGCTTAACTATTATTGTGCACGCCCATTTTTTAGCCCCACGAGCCGCCCCTGGATGGACAACATATTAAGGACATGGACTGGCCTGGATATGGAAGAATGAGCAACGGCAGCTCGCGACCGTAAAAGAAGGAGGGTCATTACACGTTAACCTCTGAGTCAGAGACAACACCTCCAGGTATGAGGTAATGACACTGTGAAAGACGCCCACCTGTCTAAGTCCAACAGTTTTTACCTAAACAATGGGTGGCTGCCTCAGACAATTTTGACTGAAGGTCAGACATAGACAGGATGGAGTTTGACATAATGATATTATTTTCTTCTGAAGACATCGGGTAAACAGTCATTTCACTT